ATTTGCCAGTTGGCCCCCCCCCTCTCCTGCTGGGCCGCCGCGTCTCACAGTGCCTGCTCCCCGCCCGGGGTTGCCCGCGTTGGCCGTGTCGGCATTTTCCCCTTGGGAGCCTTCCCGCAGCTCTTGTCCTTGGTGGGCGGGTTTCCCCCCCACCCCCGCGGGAACTGCGAGTGCATCGAGGTGACGGTGAACGATAAGGTCGTTTAGCGATTGCACGGTGGTCTTATGGTAGTATTGATGGGCATACGTTTTGCTCCCAGTGTGTTGCATCGATGTGCGTTTGCATTGCGTCTTTGTTGCTTTTGTGTTGCATCGAATCGTGTTGCATATATCCTCAAGTGGAGAGTGTGATTCATCGAATACGCCGCACGATCTACAAGCTTATGGTTGCCTTTGCCTCCCCGGCCTACGACATCGCCTCCGAGCTCACCGAGGCGGATGTCCACGAAACGGTAAGTCAGTTACACGCCTAGCCGTCCCAGTACGCCCGTTTGGAAACGCAACACGTGCCGTTTTCAAGACGCCCGTGTGACTACGTTGCGTGTTGGCCCAACGTGATGGCCCACGTTTTGGCGACCGCATCGCGCAAGACTTACGTTCCAGTCTACGTATTGATCTCCGTATCGATACGCTACGAGTCTCGTGCTGCGTATTGGGGCAGCTAGGCTTACACGGCGTCTGCGGCCAGACTGACCAAGCCAAGCAGAAAACCAACCAGGCATACAACAACAACAACAACAACAACAACAACAACAACAATCATTTTACCCGAACGCTCAGTGTTCTCACCAGTGCCAGGGTTTTCATGCGACGCGAGACAATACCCCCACTTCGTGGGGGGGCAGTTCAAGCTCTACCAAATATCCAAACGACTCTTCGCGACCACCCAAACCCAGCTTCCCGCCCTATGACGTTGGGACACTTCACTTCGTGGCGTGCGGACGACCGTGGCTACTACACTGGCGTGGGGTACACACCCACAGAACTTGGTCACTTATTCGGGGCGCGCGTGTGCCCAGCATCCTGCAATTGTGACATACAATACATGACACAGACAGACAGAGAGAGAGACAGAGAGCAGACAGAGAGAGAGACAGAGAGAGCGGAGTTGGTCACATTTTTGGGGCAAGTTCCTGAGATCGTCGTGTTTTTTGTTGGTCTTGCGCGCGCGAATGTCCACTTTACTTTTTTTTGCAAGGGAATATTGATTATGTTAGAACAAGAAAAAGTAGGTCGCGCGAGCTCATGTAACATAAATGTTGAAAAACCATTGGTTTTGTGGGAGTCGGACAGCGCGCGCGGGATGAAATTTGGACATTTTTTTTTGAAAAACCATTGGGTTTTTGATGTTTTTATGTTGAAATCGTTACGAAACCTAAGGTTCTGGAAGGATTTCGTCTTGCGCGCGCGAATGTCCACTTTACCTTATTTTTTGCAAGGGATTATTGAAATTTGATTATGTTAGAACAAGAAAAAGTAGCTCGCGCGAGCTCATGTAACATAAATGTTGAAAAACCATTGGTTTTGTGGGATTCGGACAGCGCGCGCGGAAGGACATTTTGACAATTTTTTCTTAAAAAACCATTGGGTTTTTGATGTTTTTATGTTAAAATCGCTACGAAACCTAAGGTTTTGGAAGGATTTCGTCTTGCGAGCGCGAATGTCCACTTTACCTTATTTTTTGCAAGGGATTCTTGAAATTTGATCAACTAAGAACAAGAATTTTCATTTTATAGTGTTTTTTGCAAGGGAAAACGAGCGTCAACAAAAAACCGGATCCGGACATAATCCACTTTTCTGGAGCTTTCGCAGAAAAATGATGAAAATGTAGCTGCGGCCTAGGTTTTGGAGGGGGGTCGCGCACCAGGGGTCCCAACAATAATTATTCTTAAGAAGAAATAATGTTCAACAACAACAACAACAACAACAACAACAATAACAATAACAATAACAATAACAATAACAACAACCAAACCAACCAAGCAGACCCAAAGCCTTGATTGCGATGCGCGCTCGCGCTCTCCTCCAGGCCCCGCTCGGCCAGCCGCCCTCAGTCTCTCCTCTCCTCTGGCCCCCCGCCCTTATGCAGCCGCCTTTCGCCCTTCCGCCTTGTTGCCCCCTGGGGTGGCTTTCGCCAGAGCCTCTCATGCCCCGTGGGCCCCTCCTTGGCGATTGGTGCCCAGTCTGCCCGACCTGGGCTGCCTTCTCGGCCGCCGCCGTTTCAGGCGTGCCGCCCGGCTTGCCGGCTGTCGCTGCAATGTTGCTTGCGACCTTTGCGGCTCGGCGCCACATTTGCTGCCAGGTCAGCCACGGCCTCCTTGCCTATCCTTCCTTTGTGCCCGCCTGCCTGCCTTTGGCTTGCTTTGGCACCTGCTCACTGTAGGCCCTTGTCCCCCTACCCTTCTCGGGCTTCTAGGTTGGTCTCGGTCTCCTGGTCTCTCCACACTGCTTATTCGTTCCCCCCGCCATTTTTTACAGGATGGCTCCACCGCACCGTAGACTCGTCCTCCTCACCGTCCCCTCTGCCATCCACGCCTGGATGGCTTATGGCTGCCGGCTGCCGCGGGACCTCAAGCGGTCTTTGAGGGCTCGGACGTGCTTAGTCGCGCGCGCGTTTGGTGCTTTTGGACCTTCTCCGCCCTGTCGCTGCGCACAGGTCCGCGACGCCAAAAAGTGTGGTTGTGTGGGTGTGGGTGGATGGGTGAGTGGGAGGCGGTGGGGGACTTGCGCTGCCTTTCATGTGCCGCTTCATCCGCAACTTTGGGTGCAAATCGTGTGGACGCACCCCGTACATACTGACTCGCGACTGGTGTCACATGGTTGGCGTAGGACACGTGTGCTGTATGCACTGCTTGTCACACCGCCATGGTCCGCCAGTTTTTCTCGGGGTACGGTGGCGGACTGCCGTAATATAGCATGCATTCCGTCGTTGGCATCGAGAGGGAGAGCCGTCAACCAAAAGGATTGCACTAGCCCGTTCTCGCCCAAATTTGTAGGATTTCTCACGTTAAATGCATGTTTGGGCGATGGACGTGCCGATTTCCAGAGCGTCACTGCCACCGCAATGACTAAGGCATGGCACTTTGGGTGCGCCGCGATGCTGCAGGCATTCCTTTGGGCACCCTAATGAGCTGCCGCCAAAGAGTATGACAGGCAACTTCGCGCGTAGATGTGCGGGCCCTCTGAAGTAAGGTCATTGTTTTTGTGCGGGGATGGATGTGCTCTTCCCAGAGCCCAATGATCATCTCGATGATGCAGGCATAGCGTTCGGGCGCTCAGAACCTGGGCGGGGGTGCGACCAGAGTGCTACTCGACCGAAGAGCACCACCAATATGGTCACGTATGGGGATCTCCGCGTCGAACAACTCTGCTTGTACACTTTGACGCTTTTCATCGCTGCCAGGATGGAATTTGCTGTTTCCTCTCCATAAGGGCCTCTTTGCTGAATGGCATGCCCGTGGGGCGCTAGTCTTTCAAATAGGGTTGCTTCCCGTCAGGAAAACTTGTAGGAACTCTTGAGAAGGGGCGTGGAGGACTGGATTGGGTATTGTAGCATCGTTGATGTATCATGGAGTTCTTCTGGTCTTCCTCCTTCCCCATTCCCCAACGTAACCATACACTGCAGGCTGCAAGTGTGAATCCCCCTTGAGACCCCCAGACCAGAACATCGGGTTCCGAGTGTTGTGTATGTGCCGAGCGTGACGTCTGGGGCGTACGAGATGGCGTGCGCGCGTGATGCAGGAGTCCCCTTTCTCCTCTGGCATCGGCGGGCCACCTTGCTCGGTGTTGTGGCGTTCCAATATCGCAGCCTACTGGCGCCGTGGTGCCATGTCTCGTGGTTTCTCTGTGCTGAGATGTGTTGGCGTCGTGGAGTCACAGGGTTGTTGTGTTGCGGTGTCGCGCAATGGTGGGATGGTGTCGCGATGTCGCCAGACAAATCCACTGCCAAACAGTTGCGAGTCAAGTGCTAATCATTTGTACAGTCATCATGCACTCATTCCTTTGTGAATACGTAAGTTGTGAGCACAGAGTGATTCGAGTGACAATCAGTCTGCGAGCCAGTCGTGGCGCAATTCTGGCGTGCTTGTGGATCCAATTTCCCATGCCATGCAACGATGGGTCGATTTTCAAGTATAAGTATCTCGGCGCAGCTGAGATGCAGATGTTGAATGCATCTGTGTCGTGGTCCTTAGGTATCGTCGTATCGCGGTGCCCTGGTGCTGTGATGCCTTGGTGTCGCTGTGTCCCGGTGAGGCCGTGTCGTGGTGGCCTGATGTCGCGGCATCAACAAATTATGATTTATTCGGGGGGCAATTTAACATCATATGCAATGTGCATTGCTTGTGCTTCGACTGCGAATAAATTGCGTCTCAGGTGCGAACCAGGCATTGCCACTGCGGGAGCCCAGTGTGAGTCAACTGTGATGCAATTGTGGAACTCTGTGTGATACATTTGCGGTTTGATCTTGCTAGATCCATGTGTGAAGTGCTCATTTCGAATTCCTACCAATTGCGAACCAGGGGGGATGACGGTCCCGCAGCAGGAAAGCCTGCCGACTCCATAGTCGTATCTGTAACGTTGGCACCCGTCATTGGGGTCTTGATGTAAAAGCAGTTGCCAGTTGATCGCGTATATGTCTGTGTATCAAGGGTAAGGCAGATGTTAAATCATGTGTGAAGCAGGTGCCGGTGCTTGACGGGTAAGGCTATAGCATCTGACAGGCCGCTTGCGATTTGGACGGGTGAACGGACGGAAGTGGGCATCAACGGGTGGATGTTGGCATTGAATATTTGCTGGGCGCGCAGATATGTGGGACATTTGAAATTCTGACCCACTGTGGAATCTTCCCCGCAACCGGGTTACCATTGGCCACAGGCTGGCCACACGAGGTGGGACTTCTGCATCCCGAGCCTGGCCCTCAGGAGGGCCAATTTCAGCCCTGGCCATGCGAGAAACGTTCAGAAGTTCTGCTTGCCGACAGCCTCTGCTCCCCAGCCGAGGTCTTGCGGCGGCACGCGACAGAGCTGGTCGAATGGGTGGGCGGCCCGCGCCCGCCGAGTACCCCCGCTTGTCTGGTGCAGAGTGTGGGCTCGTCCGGTTCACTGAGGGGGTGTCCTGCGAGGGGGCCTCGAGGCGACTACATGCCCGTGCTACACGGAGGACTGGCAGAGGCCTCAGGCGCCTTGCAGGTTGATTCTAGTCGTCGGCTTTTTCCAGGACTCAGACCGAGACCCCTGAGGAGCGAATCACGCTCAGCCGACGAGCCCGAATGTGATCATCTCAGCAGCCCCGTCTTGACAGCCCAGGGGGGCGCGGGATCTTTCAAACAAGTAGTGGCCTCCCAGTCCCTGGCTCGCTCAGATCGGCGACATGTCTTGTGCAGGGGCCACCTCTTCAGTGAAACAAGGGGGAGAGGGAGAAGTAGGGGCAGAGGCGGGGGTACTAGACGGGGAAGGGGAGGGGGACGCTTTCTGGACGCATCGGATGGTGAGAATCACTTTGGACGACTATGTCTCCTTCAGTCCTGACTCGAACGTTATTCCAGCCATGGGGTGCTGCGTCTTCGACGTGTTTTACAGGCAGCAAAGTTAGGTGTTTGTCCCGTCTATGCATTGGCAACCCAGGGTCTCGTTGGAATCATGCCGGCGATATTGTCTGGTGTCTTGGGGTCCTTGCCATCGAGTCCGGCTTGAACAGCTTGCAGGCTTGCAGTAGCATCCCATGTTCACCCTTGACTGCAGGCGCAACCTTGTGGATTCTCCCAGGGGGTCATCCTGCGTGCGCCATGTAAGATGCCACCAGCGTCACGCCAGCCCTCACCTGGTGGCGTTCTGCAAGCAAGCCCATGGCCCATGGCCAACAAGCCGAGAAGGTCAATGCTCGACACTGGCCACGATGGCTTCGTAGGAGGTGGCTACAGCTCAGTCCCCCGTTGTGCTCGACGCAACATTGCGCCGATGATTACCCTTGGGAGGTCATGCTACCTTCCTTGCATGCCTCACGACAAGCCAGTAGTTGAGGAGCTATTCGGTAAGCAGCCGCCCTTTGTTTCTTCGGTAATTAAGCATGCCATTGACGGTGTCTCATAAGAACGAGTGGCTCAGTTGAAACCGCTCTGTCGAAGTAATCGGCGCACATGATGTGCAAAACCAGCCCTGTAGGACAGGATGTCTTGGGCGTGCAGCCTGCATGTCTAGCACGTCCGCGTGTCAGTGTTGATGCCTTGCGGTATCGCGTCTGCGTGCCAAGCAGTATCTGCCAGCGACGTTATTAATATGGTGGGAACGGTCTTGGCATGTATCGGTAGGGTTATCCATGTGGCATTACATAGGCGAGCTCTGTCAGTTTTGTTGGGGTGTATTGTTCCTGAATGTGCCATGATCGAGTTGCAATTATTTCTTAGCGAACGCAGTGTGTAATGTGAAGCACGTGCCTGTTGGCACCCGCCTGGGACTTGCCAGGGGGACACATACCCTGGGTATCGCGACTCAGTTCTTGTTTGGGTAGCTTCTATCGGGTTTGAAGACCGGCTACGAGGCGGAATTGGTGAATGTCTCGACGGTTGTTGTGGCCTCCAACATGAAATTACATAAGACGAGTCAAGGTTGCTGATTTTCCCTTGCAGCAATCTCGGCGCACTCATGTGTGACAGGCCACGCTAGCCCGTAAACCCTGCTGCGCTTTGGGACCTCGTGGGAGTTGCCCACCTCTGTTGCCAAGATGTTGCGCAGATCTCCTGTCACAGCGCTTCCCACCGATCTCCTTCAAAAGGCTATCCAGGATGTCGGCGTCATACTTGGGCCCTGGGTGCTTGGAGACTTCGGCCCCCCTCGGGTACATGTGCCGCCAGTGAGGGCAACGATTTCCGACTTACACCTTCCCACCTTCCCCACTTCGCCCCCTCATTCCATTCGTCTTCCCCGCCCTGTCCTTGTTGCGCTCCCGCTCCCTTCCCTCTGTCTCTCCCACTTCCCTCTTCTCTCCCACTGCCACTCTCCGTCTCTTCCTCTCCCCTTCCCTCTTCCCGCTGGTGCTGTCCCCAGGTGGACCAGGTTTCCTCCCTGACGGCGGACTCGGTGCTTGCCCTTGCGGTTAGGGCAGCGCGAAGGCTGCGGTCGCGCGCCCGCTGCGCACGCTGCTGTCTCCGTGCTCTTCTCAGGGATGACGCTGGCCTTCGCAGTTTCAGGGATGATTCCCCAACGCTTCTGCACAAAGGCGGCGACGAGGACGGGGACTACGGCAGAAGCTTCGCGCACGGCCGAGGCCAACCATACGGCAGCGAAGTTCTGGCGCATGACCTCTGCAATTGCCTGGATGTAGGATCATGTCCTGTCATCTACGTTGACTGAAGACGTGTTTCTGGCCTACTCGTTGAACGCCGCCCAATTTGTATCGTGCGCCACAGTTCCCCTGCATTTGTTTCCAAGCTAGGCTTATCCCAGATGGCCTCTTACTATCTCGTCTTCCCCACTATCTGCTGACAAGTGCTTTGGGGAGATGTGGAGTCTCTATTGACTACTTTTTTGGACCTGTCGTGGACGCCCTGGGGAATTAATTCTGCATGTGGGGTCCTCATATGAGTCGGCTAGGCAAGATTTCATTGAGCTTCGATCGCCTGCAACAAAGTGCCAGGTGCTCTTTACGCTCTCATTCGTTATGTGCCCTCCCCTCGCGATGTCACCCTTAGATACTCCCTCCTCTATCATTCGGAATGCTTCGTCCTCACATGTTACGTTCGTTTTTTGTCCGCCCACACACAACTCCATCATCTTCAGCATCATCAGCAGCAGCATCATCATCCTCATCAGCACTACCTTCATCATCATCCGCATCATCATTACCAGCTTCATCATCATCACAACACTCATAATCATCACCATGATCATCACCATCACCACCGCCACACTCATCATCATATAGACAACTTTAGTGTGGTGTGTGCTGGGAATGGGGACGAGCGGCCGCACGGCCCCAACCGTTGTGCTCAAGCTTTCGAGGGGCATGCAAGCAGCTGCCACGCGATTCCTTGTGGTCGGCGACCTCGGCGGCTCCTCCAGCGTGCCCGCCATGTACCTGTGAGTGTGCGCCGACCTACAGTCTGTCCTGTCCCAGCGTCGACAGCGCCTACGACCTGCAGGTCATCAGCTCGTGGTTCAGTCACGGGTTGGCCTTCCTCTCCGGCTTGCTGCTGGGAGCCTTCGCCTTGCCCGCACTCTGGAGCTGGAGGCCGTACTCTTTCCGTTGGATCTGGCCGCGCCGCGACAAGTCGCCATCTTGGCCATCGCTCTCGCAGTCGAGTTCGCCTGAGGAGCTTCGAGTGGCTGCATCGCAGCAGGAGAAGGCCGCCATCCAGCATGCCTCAACTAGGTGACGTTCATGCGATCCGATTCCGTGTCGTGGGTCCTGTGGTATACCACGAGCGGATCACCTTGTTCAACGCGCCTCCCTCGGAGGCGGTCGTCGTGTCCGTGGACGGCGACGTGTACGTGGAGACGGTTGTGGTGGATGCGGGTTGCCAGGAGATTCGGCCCTTGCGAGGGCTGGGAACTCCGCTGCACGGCGTCTCGGAGGCGAGCGTGCACCGATTCGGGGCTGCGCCGCGCTGCGCCGGGCGTTACCGCCATGTGGGGCTTCCTCCGCAGCGAGGCGGTGCTGCTGGGCGCTGCAGTGCCCCCCTCGCCGCTCGTGCTGGCCAGCGGCCTCGGCGCGGGTGCAGCCTGGACGCCTCAGGCCTTGCGCCTGGACGACCCCGCCGCGGTGGGCGTGGTCGCGGGGGCGCCAGGGCCAGGCGTGGGCGCCGCGGCCGTCGGGGGAGCCGCCCCAGGTGGGGCCGCTGCTGGCGCGGTTCCAGGCGGCGCGGGCGCCCTGGCCGCCGCTGTCGGCGCGGCCGTGCCCAGCCCAGCGGCCCTTGGCAGCGGCCGACGGGGGGCGGGGGTGCCGCTGCTGCTAGAGCTGCCGCCGTGCCACCAGACAGTCCTGGCGCGACCCTGGCCGAGAGGCGCGCGCACCCGCTGTGGAGGGATCCAGCAGGTCGTCGGCAGCTGGACTTCTCTCTCGCGGCTCGGAGCGCTACGACGACGCCCCAGGCCGACTGGCCGATCAAGGGTCTTCGCACGACCCAGTGTTGTCTGGAACTTTTGCGCAGGAATGCAGGCGGCCCGTTAGCCTGGCATTCCGAGTGGAAGGCGGAGGCGAGGCTGAGAGACTCCGATTCGACCAGCCAGCAGCACGGGATGAATTGCAGGCTGCTCGAACTGGGTAGCTCTACGACCAGCTCAACTGCGCGGAGCTGGCGGTGTTTGAGCTGGTGCGCCGCCAGACCCAGCTCATCGAGGAGCGGCACTACGAGGAGGCTGCATCCGCCCAGGTGGCGGCCGAGGACAAGAGGTTGGGCAAGGACAAGAAGGGCTCGGGCGCGAGTGAGTCCTTGCTCGGCGCCGAAGCGGATCACTACATGGGGATATCGGCGAGCAGGGTAACTCGCGCATCGCCCCAGCCCTGCCGAGTATCTGAAGGCGGAGGCGGCAGTGGCCGAGGAGAGGCGCAATGCCCGCGCGGAGCCTGCGGCGCGAGTGCAGTCCTTCGGAAGCTTCTCCCAGGCGGGCGCAGGCATGTCAGTGCCGCCCGGGCGATTCCTTGCGTTTTCGTGGCGGCCTCGGCTTCCGCCCCTTTTGTCGGCGAGAACACAACGCAGTTTTGTTCGTTGTCACAAAAACGCGGACCTGGGAACCTTCTACCCCTGCCGCCCCGCCGCTGGCGCCGCGGTTCGCCGCGGTGCCTGTGGTGGGGCGGGTTGGGTCGGTTGGGGGGTGCGTTTGGGGTGGCTCGCCTCAGGTCTTCATGGACTTCGTGTTCCTCGTCTTGTTCGTGTTCTTTGTCCACGTCTCCCTGCGGTGGGGGGAGGGTAAATATACCCCCGCGTCGCGCGCGCTGCCCCGAGGGCGCTTGTCGGCCGAACGCGAGGCTGGCGCCCTCGGTGCGCGCGTCGCGGGCCGCCGTGGCGGCTTTTGTTTCAATGAGGCCGTGTCAATGCGACCGTGCCTGGGCCGTGTCAATGCGACCGTGCCAATACGACCGTGTCAGTGCGACCGTGTCGATAAAGCCGTGTCAATGCGACCGTGCTATGGCCGTGTCAATGCGACCGTGCCAATACGACCGTGTCAGTGAGACCGGGTCAATAAGGCCGTGTCAATGTGACCGTGCCTGGGCCGTGTCAATGCGACCGTGCCAATACGACCGTGTCAGTGCGACCGTGTCGATAAAGCCGTGTCAATGCGACCGTGCTATGGCCGTGTCAATGCGACCGTGCCAGTATGACCGCGTCAATGTGACCGTGTTGATGCGGCCGTGTCAATGCGACCGTGCCTGGGCCGTGTCGACGCGACCGCGCCAGTAAGATCGCGTCAATGCGACCGCGTCTGTAAGGCCGTGTCAATGCGACCGCGCCTTTTCGATTGCGTCAACGCAACGCGTCAATTACGCCGTGTCGTTGCGACCGTGCCAATTTCTCCGCGTCACTGCGTCCGTGTCTTGTGGGGCGTGCCAAGGGGACCGTGCCGTTGCGACCATGTCAACGCGTCCGTCTCGCCGCGACCGTATCAATGCGAATGTGTAAAAGCGAATGCGTCATTGCGACCGTGTCAGCGCGACCGTGTCAGTGCGACCACGCCAATATTACCGCGTCAATGCGACCGGTTTCCGCCGCCCAGCATGTTGACATTCGTCAGGAGACGCGCGCAATGATCGTTGTTACGCGACGGAGCCAGCAGTGCGCGCAGGCAGAAGACGCGAGCCGCATACGCCGTTGGGCGCGCCGCGGCCGCACCAGCGATGTGCGCTGCAACGCCCACGCTTTCCATGAGCCTGGCTGATTTTCTTGCGGCCCATGATGATACAAGCCGCGGCGCCGAGTGGCTTCGGCAGTGCGCAGCCCTATGCCAGGCGCCGCGAGCGGCTGCGAATGCCGCCACGACGCGCCAGTGTCTCGCGCGCAGGACAATGAGTTGGAGTCAGTGCGTGATCTTGCGTTTGCAGATCCCGGCGCACTGCAGGGCAACCCGTCCGCGGGTAAGCGCTCCTTCTTAGCCAGAGTGATGGCTGCCGCGAAGTCTCTGACAGCGGAGGAACAGCGCGCGGCTGATCCGGCCAGCGCAGGCAGCGCGGCCGGGAGCGGGTCAGCACCTGAGCCGATGTGCCACGTGGACATTCAGGCGAAGTTGCAAGGAGGCGCTCTGAAGGATGTGGGCCAGGCGTTTTGGCCGCGGTCCGCGGCGGTCGACGCCCTCGAGACGGACGTGAAGCGGCTGCAGCGTCGCGGCATCAAGCGGCCATTTGTGTTCGCTGACCTGAAGAAGTTCTTGCCGTCCTGGGCAGAATCGAAGAGCGCGAAAGAGGAGGCTGATGAGGGCCCGCCCATGTCTCGGGATCTTCGCGACCTTTCGCGCGCGCTCGGCGTAGCGAACCCAGTCAAAGCGAAGTCGCTCACTTTCACGCAATGGCATGCCGCCTTCGACAGGTGCACGCGTCTGCGCGCGGGGCGCGCACCCAAGAGCAACGGCGTCGTCCGAGCGCGTAGGTACGCCATCGCTTGCGTCTGCACGGAGCAGATGACGCTGGCTGCGACGATTCGCCACCGCCAGAACGTCATGAAGGCCCGCCTATCGCCGTTGCTCTGCGGATCCAGCGGCGCGAGTGCGATGCGCGCGCGGCGCGGCAGGTGGCCGCGCAGGCGCCCAATGCTAATCGGAGTGGCGCGCTGGGGCTCGTATACGATGAGATTTGCCGGCGCACTTGGGCAGAGAGGTCTCGCGCCGGTGATGATTCCCTCGACATCGAAACTGTCGTGGCAACGATCGATGTGACTCTCTTGGGCGAGGCAGAGGCCGCGTACGATCGCGAAAGTCAGGAGCGCTCAGCCCCCCGCGGGGGCAAGGGTGCCAAGGGCGGCGGAAAACCCGGCAAGGGCGGCGGCAAGGGCGCCAAGGGCGGCGGCAAGGGCAAGTTCCCGCCTGCGCCCCCGGCGGCGCCGAACGACCGCGGCGAGTGCGGGGAGCCGCGGGCCAAGAGAGCCAGGCATCACGAGCGCTGATCAACGTTCCTGCGCCGCGCAGGCGCGGGTCGGTGCGCGCGCGCGCGACGGCGGTAGCCGGGCGGCGCGCAGGCGCAGCTGAGAGTCCAGCGGTGACATGTGAAGCATGCCGCGGACAGGAGGCTGGAAGCGCGGCGCACCTACATGTATGTCGCGCGCGGTGGCGTCGCGCTTGCGCAGGCTACCAATTCGGTGTGGACGCGCGGGGCGCAGCCTACACCGGTTGTTTCACTGGAAGAAGTTGCCGGCGCGGGCGCTCCCGCGGTGGGCGGGGTGCAAGCCCATTTGTCGAAAGGCCCCATCGCGTATCCGTCTTTGCTCCCGCGCGCGCGCGTTAAAAATCTGTCGCGTTGTAGGAGAGCTTGACGCTGGCGACGTGCAGAAGATAGAATTTATCAACTGTGCAATGAAGGACGGATTTCACATCGCGCCATCGCGCGGGATTGAGGAAGACGTTCGCTGCGCCATAGAGTGGGAAGCGTCCAGAGACAGCGTAGAGGTTATGCGTCTGCGCGACAATATGCTATCACGCCTGGAAGCGTGGGGACAAGCGTTACGACGTGACGGGGCCGTCGAGCAATGGTTCGCCGGCGCTGACGACGCGACGCGCGCCGTGTCCGCCGACGTGAATGGGCCGCTTTTAGCTGCTCTGCTCGACATGACGAGCTACGATGACACGGCCGCGGCTGATCTGTTCCGCTACGGCGCGCCTTTGCTCGGAAAGCTGCCCCATGCGGGCAGAGGGCCCGCAAAGAAATTCCCGGAGCCCACGTCGTCCGAGGAGTTGCTGACCTCCTCCCCCGTGCACAATAGAGCCATTTTGTCTTCCTTGCGAGAGGACGTGAACTCGTCTGCGATCCACGAGGGCGCGCTCGCCGATGCGTCTCTGTCGCGGATGACCGCTCCGGTTGTGCTGGCCAAGGCGGACTTGGGCAGGGTGCGTCTGTCCCCGCGTTTCTCCATTGTGCAGGGCGTCAAGCCGGATGGCGCGCCCAAGGTTCGCGTAGTAGACGATGAATCGAGAGGGGGCATCAACTCGGCGTGCCAGCCCGCCGAGAGGTTGTTGCTGGACGGGGCTGACGTTTTGGTGGACGCCCTGCGCTGCTATCACGGTCTGCGCGGGCACGCACCGGCACTGTTTAAGGCTGACATCGACTCCGCTTACCGGCGTGTGCCTATCGCTCCTGAACACAGGCTCGGGATTTCCGGGTGCCCCCCCCCGTTAAAAGCATCGACCTGGGGGCTCGTGTCGGGGTTCCAGAGGAACCCGGCGTTTGCGGTGTCGATGTCGGCCTTGCCACAGGTGGGCAGCTTACAGCACGTATTTGCACGACGGAGACATTTGGGTCACTGGTCACCTGGCGTTGATGTTCGGCGCCCTGGCTGCCGTCTTTGGGTGGGACCGAGTCGGAGCTGCCTTGGCGCACCTCGCCCGCAAGCTCTTAAAGATTCCCACCCTCCGATACGTGGACGATTTCTTTGGGCCGTGCGCACCCGCAACTAAAGAGCATACCATGGCATCGCTGGCCAGACTAGTGCGCCTGCTCCTAGGTCCAGGAGCGGTTTCCGATAAGAAGCTGGAATGTGGCGACGAGCTGGAGATTTTGGGCCTGCATGTGTCCTTTTCTCTCAGCGGGATCAACTTGTTTCCCGCGCCCAAGAAGGTGCGCAAGTGGCTTTTCTTGATCAAGCAAGCGCTCGACTGCGGGACACTATGTGCCGGCCAAGCCAGCAAGCTGGCCGGCGCTCTCAGCTGGGCAGGTCAACATTGCTTCGAGCGGCTAGGGCGTGCGATGTTGCAGCCCCTGTTCGCGCAGCAGAATGCGCGACGGGGTGTCGTTCGCGCCCCGCTCAACTTGGCGCTGTCATGGTGGGCGGAGGTGCTGGCCCTCGGCATCCATCAGTCCAAGCCGTGGGCGCAGCTGGAACGGCAAGAAGTGCACTTGTTCGCTGACGCAAGGGGCGGGTCCGATCCACGGCTCGCCGCCGTGCTGTTCGTCGATGGTCGCGCCTTCTGGTCCGACGCCCCTCCAGACCAGGAGCTGCTGGAGGACTTGGCGCCGCGCCGGGACTCTCAGATTATGGCGTTAGAACTGCTCGCTATAGCGCTGGGATTAGCTACCTTTAGTGAACTGCTGGCGGACCGCCGAGTGGTGATTTGGTCCGACAATGTGGGCGCAGAAGGGGCAGTGCGGAGCGGTCGCGCTTCCGCTTGGGACCACTCCCGCATCATTCACGCCATGTGGTTCCTCATCGCACGCACCCGGTGTTCGCCGTGGTTTGCGCGGGTCCCATCAGCAGAGAACATCGCCGACCTTCCGTCGCGGGAGGAGTACGAGTTGCTACGTGTTCTTGGGGCGAACTTCGTGACGCCGCGCTTACGCGCGGCTGAGTTCTTCGCACCGGAGACGTTTCTGGCCCGCGCTCTGCCGGCGGGAGCGCGCCGTCGCGCGTCGTCGCGCCCCGCGAGCGCCGTTGCGCATCGAAGGCGGCACGAAGCAACGAAGGCGAGTGAGCCGCTGTCCCGCGTCGAGCCCGTTGCGAGCCATGCCTCGCGCGTGCCTTGCGAGGGCGGCCCGCGCGAGTTGATGCCAAAAGCCGACAGTGGAAGCTGCGTCGTTAACCGGCCCCATCGATGGGCCCCTGGTCGGTTGTCCTATGCGTCAGCGCGCGGTCCCAGCGCAGCCAGCGACGGGCGCTCAGTCGAGCGATAAGCCATGACGTTGTTTCATGAGGTCCGCGGCGTCCTGCCAGAGCTTTCACCCATGGTTACCTTTGCGTTGATCGAGTTGCTGCGGCGCCAGGACATAACGCATCTCAGAGATCTGCAGCTAGCGCGCGTCGATTGGTTCGAACCGGTGTCTGCCGCAGAAGGGGAACGAGGCGTCAGCCCTGACGCCCTGCGCGTAGCGCTGTCAGAGTTAATTAACGAAGCGAAGAAGCCATCTGCCGTCGTGCGCGGCGCAAAGGACGAACCTCCGCCTGCACCCGACGTGCATCAGCGCGAGTGCCGCAGCCGCAGTCGCCCTGCCAGGCGGCGAGCTGCCAAGTGCGATGAGCTTTCGGCGGCTTGCGGTGCTGTGCGGGACCTTGAGCTGGCCGTCAGCATAGCGCGCCAGTGCACCATCGAGCCGCGCGCGGGCCCCCGCCGTGAAGTCGAGGCCCTGCGGCAGGGCCTCGCCCAGCGAAGCTTCAGCGAATGGTCGAATTCGGCTCGGGTCGCCGCGATTCTGGGCAGCTGCCCGAAAACGTGGCCCAGCGTAGTCAGCGCCTTCCGCTGCTGGGCGACTTTCGCCATGACCGTGCTCGGCTGCGACGCGGGGGAAGTGATTCCGCCGTCGCCCGAGGGCCTTGCATTGTGGAGCACATGCTTCCGTTGTAAAGGAACATTCGACAACTATATTTCGCACGTCAGATTAGTCTGCATCCTGTTGCGCGTCCCGCTGGACGCGCTGAGCGACCCGGCAGTCGAGCGCGCGGCTCGCGCGGTGCAAGCGCGAAACACTTGGCAGGCCAGGCCCAAGATGTTTATTCGGGAGGCGCTCCTCGCCAGATTACTGAAGCATCTCGAACGCCACCAATCGGGGCGCGAGCTGCAGATGCTTTTCTTGACGGCGTACATATTCCTGTTGCGATTGCCGTCGGAAGCACTGCCGATGCACGTCGCTCGGGACGGCGATCCGCCGCGGGCGGTCGAGCCGAAGAGCTGCCTACGCCTGCATGACGGCTCGATCTCGCTGACGTTGCTTTGGCGCAAGAATCGCGCCACGCCGCTCACGATGACGCGCACGTGCTGGTGCGCGCGCTGTCCATCAACGTGCCCCGTGCACGCGCTGGGGAAATTCTGCGCCGACAGCGCGGCCCAGCAGCCTTTTGCGGGTTTCCGCCCGGACGCTGTCCTATCGGCGTTGAGAGCGGCCCTGCAAGAGCTCGGGGTGCCGCGGCACGATGCCTATCGCACCCACGATTTTCGTCGGGGCCACGCCCAAGACATGGCGGTGCGTGGCTCGCGGCTGGCCGACATCCTTCGCGCCGGAGATTGGCGGTCCGCCGCCTTCCTGTCATATTTAGACAGGGATGCGCTTGAGGACAGCGCCGTCAGGGAAGCGCACGGCGGCGCTTCGTCCAGCGACGAAGACAAGGACTGAGGTGGCTGTGAGCCTATAGAACACCTTCGGCGAGAACAGCGTTGGGTTTTCCTCGCGCGCAGGTGCAGCAAGGGCCTTGGGTGTCGCTGCACCCGCGCGCTCCCGCGGGGAGCGGCGAGCGACGAGTGCGCCGCTCGCCCCCCCCCGCGGGCGCGTGCCTACCCAACGCGCAGCGCTCCCCGCGCTCTCCCCCAACCCTCGGGTTTTCCAGGGTAGCGTCTTTTGTGGGCGAGAACACAACGCAGTTTTGTTCGTTGTCACAAAAACGCGGACCTGGGAACCTTCTACCCCTGCCGCCCCGCCGCTGGCGCCGCGGTTCGCCGCGGTGCCTGTGGTGGGGCGGGTTGGGTCGGTTGGGGGGTGCGTTTGGGGTGGCTCGCCTCAGGTCTTCATGGACTTCGTGTTCCTCGTCTTGTTCGTGTTCTTTGTCCACGTCTCCCTGCGGTGGGGGGAGGGTAAATATACCCCCGCGTCGCGCGCGCTGCCCCGAGGGCGCTTGTCGGCCGAACGCGAGGCTGGCGCCCTCGGTGCGCGCGTCGCGGGCCGCCGTGGCGGCTTTTGTTTCCCCTCACCCTTCGCCGCTCCTTTGGTTGGGGTGGGGCGCGGGGTGTCGCTGCACCCGCGCGCTCCCGCGGGGAGCGGCGAGCGACGAGTGCGCCGCTCGCCCCCCCCCGCGGGCGCGTGCCTACCCAACGCGCAGCGCTCCCCGCGCTCTCCCCCAACCCTCGGGTTTTCCAGGGTAGCGTCTTTTGTGTTGATGGCCCCTGGAGCTCGCCAGCGAGACGTCCATCCTCTTCCCGCCTCGGCGGCGGATGCTCGCGCCGACGCCCGCCATGGCCGTCGGGGGCGACAGCGTGCTCCACGCGGGGCTGCTTGGAGGCGATGGGCCAACGACGGCATCGCGACCCTGAACCAGCTGAGCGGTCACTCGTCAGCGTCCTCGGCGCCGCCAGGCTTGGCGGCGTTGGCTGCTCAGGCGAGCGCGGCGAAGCATGTCGCCCAGACCTGTCGCGATTTTCCTGTTCCTCTAGGTTATCATGAGCATCATCACTCTGGCGAAGCAGCCCTGGCAGGGGTGCTCGCATCGGCGCCTGGGCACTCTACTGACTCCCGGCGCGTGAAGCCCTACAGCGAGGACTTGGTTCCCTGGCCTTTCTTGTCGACGGAGCCAGTGGATGTCGCGGCGCTCGCTGACCGGGCCGAGCGCGATGCGTTGTCGGGATCGAGACGGACTGCGCTCAGATGTCAGACGTCTGCTTCGCGCCCGAGAGCGGCTTTAGCGCCGCGGCTGCCCGGCGTCGACCTGGTTTTGGCCAGCGGCCCCAAGGCCCGCGCTGGCTTCGCAGGGAAGTTGCCGAAAGGGGGCGCGATCAGCTCCCGTGCGCCGCGGGCCGCTGATTCATTTTGCTTTGGTTTTGTTCGTCGGAAAGGTTGGCAAGGGCGCGCCCGGGCCCGTCTTCGACTCGAGGGTGGCGAACGATGGGGTTCGCGCCGCCGCCCCAGACGGCGCTTCCGACGGTGGCGGCTCGGGCTGCCCTCGAGTCGGAGCATCCCGCGGCGCTGGCGCATGGCGACGTCCAGCGCGCTTTCTACCGCGCGCTCGCGCCCCGGGGAATGGGGGGTTTTTGGAGTTTCTGATTTTTTCAAACCGCCTGCTGGGCATGGATTAGATCGACGGGAAGCCGCTTGCCAGCGATTGCATCTTGCAGCCCATGGCGCGCGTGCTTCCCACTGGGCGGAGTTGGTCGCTGTTGTTCTGCCGGGGCATCATGGGGGGGGGCCCTGGTCCAGAACGGCCTCGGCGCTGGTGACCTGATTGAGGATGGGTGACCCAGCCCCGGTCGCGTTCACGGGGCTGCTTGGCCGCGGCGGGCCGCGTCGACAATTTTGCCGGCGCGGACGGCGACGCGGGCGTCTTCGCGGCCAAGAGTGGCCAGATCATTCGCGCGCTAGAGTCGCGGGCCCCCCGTCCACTCGATCGACGAGACCTCCTCCGTCTCTACCTTCGCGGGCCTCGGGGTCAACGGCGACCTCGGCACCGCGAGAGTGAAGCCCGCCAGCGCCGCGCGCTCGAAGCCTTGCTGGGGCGCATCGCCCGTGCGATGATTTACAAAGCACAGACCCCTTCCCCCTTGTCTTCGGTCTATGCGTTCAAGCCTCTGCGGGGCCCTGGAGTGACAGGCCCTTGTGTAATTCGGTGAAATTCGAGTTTTGGTTTGTTGCCAGTACTTTATCTTTCTGGACTTCGCGCGCGCACATTCCTCGGGGCGCGCGCATCTCGCCCTCGGGCGCGCCCCTGATCGGCATCGGGGCGCTCGTCAGCTCGAGGGGCCCCGCGTGGCCGAGATGGGGGGCGGGCGGAAAGGTGGAGGCACCGGCGTGCATCATCAGCGGCGGCGGGCTAGCGCACAGGGTTTGGACGGGCCCCGCGTCGACTCGGAATTCTTGGAGGCCGTCGTCTTGGACTCGGTCAAGTCGTCTGACCCCGAGGGCTTCAACAAGGGTTTTTTCGAGATCCCTAAGGACATCATGCAAGCGTCGTCATGGGCCGCCGTCATCTCCAGGAGGCACTCGAACCCGTCCAAGAATATTCAGGATCACGAAGGGGATGCATTGCGCGATGCTGTTCGGCGTGCCACGCGCAGCGTGTCCCTGCGCCGCCACCGCATTCTCCTCTTCGTCAATAACTGACCTGTGGCTCTGGCGGCGGGGAAGGGCGGGGGCGCAAGCCCGCCCGTCGGCGGCCCCTGCGGAAGCTGGCCGCGCTGGCACTCGCTGCCAACCTTGGGTGCTATTTGAGATGGCTGCCGTCGGAGCTGAACGCGGCGACAGGCCATCCCGTCGTGGTTTCTTCCATGGCAGAGGCTTCGCGGCAGCTTTCGAGGTGCCTGCCAGCGGCGCCCGCTTCGAGACCGCGGTCGGTGACTGTCGGGGCCGCCCAGGGGCGGGGGGGCCCGCGCCCTCGGGCTGCGGGGGCCATCGGCTTCCTGAAGATGTTGGCTGTCGGCGCCGAGGCCGCGCGCTGCGTCTCCCGGAGCGGCTGGGCGAGCACGAGCACGGCTTCCGCGCCGCCGGCCAGCTGGACGTGAACGTGGCGCCGGTCGTCCACGTGCACCCGAGGCCGTCGGGGGCTTGTCGGTTGCGCGCGGCCTCGCTGGCGCCCCCGATCGTGGGCGCGGGCAGCTGCGCCTGAGGCCTCCTCGTGAACGACGCGAGGTCAGGGCGCCCTGGCATGACGAGGGTGGCCGACGTTTCGACGCCTGTCGCCGCCCCTGAGCTTCGGCCCGCGCTGCACGCGCAAACGCTCAACGCCCCCTCGGACGCGAGCGCCGGGGTCTTCAGGGCCGCCGACGCGCGCGCGAAGTTCGCCCAGGCGTTGCAGGAGCTGGGGCTGCTGAGGGAGCCCCCGTCCTCGCGTGCCCTCAGTCGCGGGGGGGCCTCTCGCGACTTGCTCTCGAGGGCTCGCTTGATTGTGGAAGCGAAGGAGATAGGGGGAGTGGATCATAGACAAGTCCGCGATGCGGCGCGGCAAGCCAGCGCAGATGCAGCCGCGGATCAGGAAGCTGCCGCCGGACGTGGCCGACTTCGGAGAGCGGGTTCTCAGCTGAGTGGCGGAGATCACCGTGGCCAGGCTCTTGTCAGACCCCTTCCTGGTGCCAGTGCCTCTCCAGATGGCGTCAGCCGCTCCGCGGGCCGCCGAGCGGACGCCTGTTCTGACCGCACTCTAGGTGCTCGTATGAGGTCGGCGTTTCGACGTGCTCACGTGCGGGCGCCCCGCCGGCGTCGGCTCGCTTTGCCAGTGGTCAGGCCCCGCGGGGCCCCCATTTGCAAAGCGTTGCGCGGGCGCGGTCTGGGTTGCCCCAGGTCTGGCGCAGGTCGGAGCGCGGGCCTCGGTCTGACCGAGCGGCTCGTCGTCGGCCGACTCCTGGGTAGGATTCGATCGTCGGCGGTCTAAGCTTGCTGGCTTTCTTTGCCGCGGGGGTCCTGGATCGAGACTGGGTCACGTCCCGTTCGCGCTGTCTCGGATCCATGGGGTCGGTCGGCCCATGCGTCCTGTCGCTAAGCTGCCGTCTTTTTGGCGTGATCACGTCGAGCTGCAAGCCGCCGCCAGGATTACTCGCGCCTGCATCGGCCTTTCAGTGCCCGCGTGTCTAGAACGCCCCAGATCTAGCCTCATTTGGTCTTGCCCGAGCTGAACGCACTGATGCGCCACATGGTGTTTGACATGGTTGATCTGGACCTCTGTCAGTTCGGGCCCTCCACCCGCTCGGCCGCGCGCATCTTCTCATGGCGCTACCCTCAGACCCAGTGTCTCAGGCATCCGCGCGGCACGCGTGGCGCGACGCGCTCGTGCTCGGCGCGGCCTCGCTGACAATTTGACGGCCGCGCGGCCAGGGGCGTAGCTTGCAGACGCAAGGTTGCAGGCTTTCCTGCCGGAGCAGCAGCATTAATTAGTCGCGGGCCGCCTCATCAGTTCGATCTAGGATTTGCGTCGGTCCAGATTGTATGATAGTGCCGGCCTCCGGTCATGATGTTATGTTACACAATCTACGTTTGGGATTCCAGCGAGTGCTCATGTCCACTCTGGGGGCCGAGGCGCCGCTTCCTGCCATCCCCACCGTCAGCTTCTCTAAGGGGAGTGGCGTGGCCGCGGCGACCCTTTTCGGGACAGAAACAACTTTAGTGTGGTGTGTGCTGGGGGTGGGGACGAGCGGCCGCGCGACCTCAACCGTTGCGCTCAAGCTCCCAAGCCCGTCCGCCCTCGCATAAGGGTTTTCGCCAATCGGTTTAACGTCTGTGCTGCCTGCGAGTGCTGATGTCCACTCTCTGGAGGCGAGGTACCGCTTCCTGCCATCGTCGCCGCCAGCTTCTTCAAAAAAATGTTATGGCGCGGCGACCCTCTTCGGCATCATCACTCGCATCATCATCACCGTGGTAACCATCATCCTTATCACCACAACCCTCGCCACCATCACTGACACTATAGTCGTCAACATCGACATCATCACCGTCGCCGTCGTCATCGTCATTCTCATAATCGTTATCGTCCTCATCATTGTCATCGCCATCGTCATCATCAGTGTCGCTATCATCACCATAACCAATCTGTTTGCCAGCATCAGGGTGGCTGTCGTTTTCATGACCCTTCCCATCATCACCGGCATCATCACCATCATCAGTATCATCATACCGTGCATTAACATCACCACCATCAGACTCAGCATCCCTGCCTGGTGCAGGGTTATGTGCATCAGCATCCGCGTCTTCAGCATCATCACCACCAGCATCATCGACACCAGCACCAGCAACACCATAAACATCATCAGCATTAGCAACTGCAGTATCAGCATCATCATCATCGCGCACATTCACTCACACGGTTACACACTCGCACGCTCATATTGAGGGAGGAAGTCTCGTGCAGAAACTTTGTCAGTGATTGAATCGCGAGGAAGTGTCGGGCGGGAACCCCTCCCTATAGGGTCTCCGCCTCCATGTTCGAATCTGGTGGATCATCCAGATGTGGTAACAGTCATCACTTGTGGGCTCCTCAGGCCTACATTTGGAGCTAGAGCTCTAACTGTGGCCCGAGTAGTCAGGTTGCTGTGTGGCTGTGCCTCTGGCTATTCGGAGCGATTATTCAAGTAGGCAAGCGCCGGGAGGGTCGTGGGCAGTGCGCGCGGGCTCATCTGGAGTGCTGACGCGTCGGCATTGCGTGACGCCATAGAGGCATATTGTCAAGCCTGCTGCGTAAGATGGGGCGCCCTTTCCGCAGCCGAGGGGGTAGGTCGCGTGCTTGGTTGTCGCCATTACCCTTCGTTTGGCTGCCCGCATGTGAAGTTCGAGACGCTCGATCCCATCGAGCTGCTTCCTCCCTCCCTCCCTCCCGTCGTCACCCCGTTCATTCCATCCCTCCTCCATTCTCCCGAGTCCCCCCTCCATCTCCATTCTCTTGTCCCCCGTAGTTCCCAAGCCTCCTATGGTTGGGTACTCGTTTTGAATGGAGCAGTGTGGTCGCCCCGGCCTCCTTCTTCTCCTCCCCTCTCCTCCACTCCTCCTCTCCTGTGTCGGGCTCCGATCTGCGCAACTGTCGCCACTTTCGTGGGCTCCTGGGAGGCCCAGCGGAGGTACGTCCCACGCGGATCGTCTCGGGACCTCGCGGTGCCCTGGGGGCTGCGATCTGCGCAAGTGTCGCCACTTTCGTGGGGTCCTGGGAGGCCCAGCGGAGGTACGTCCAACGCGGATCACCTCGGGACCTCGCGGTGCCCTGGAGGCTGCGATCTGTCGCCACTTTCGTGGGCTCCTGGGAGGCCCAGCGGAGGTACGTCCCACGCGGATCACCTCGGGACCTCGCGGTGCCCTGGGGGCTGCGATCTGCGCAATTGTCGCCACTTTCGTGGGCTCTTGGGAGGCCCAGCGGAGGTACGTCCCACGCGGATCACCTCGGGACCTCGCGGTGCCCTGGGGGCTGCGATCTGCGCAATTGTCGCCATTTTCGTGGGCTCCTGGGAGGCCCAGCGGAGGTGGGTCCCACGCGGATCGTCTCGGGACCTCGCGGTGCCCTGGGGGCTGCGATCTGTGCAATTGTCGCCACTTTCGTGGTCTTCCTGGAGGCCCAGCGGAGGTACGTCCCACGCGGATCACCTCGGGACCTCGCGGTGCCCTGGAGGCTGCGATCTGTCGCCACTTTCGTGGGCTCCTGGGAGGCCCAGCGGAGGTGGGTCCGACGCGGATCACCTCGGGACCTCGCGGTGCCTTGGGGGTTGCGATCTGCGAAATTGTCGCCATTTTCGTGGGCTCCTGGGAGGCCCAGCGGAGGTACGTCCCACGCGGATCACCTCGGGACCTCGCAGTGCCCTGGGGCCAAGCGGAGGTACGTCCCACGCGGATCACCTCGGGACCTCGCGGTGCCCTGGAGGCTGCGCAACTGTCGCCACTTTCGTGGGCTCCTGGGAGGCCCAGCGGAGGTACGTCCAACGCGGATCACCTCGGGACCTCGCGGTGCCCTGGGGGCTGCGATCTGCGCAATTGTCGCCACTTTCGTGGGCTCCTGGGAGGCCCAGCGGAGGTACGTCCCACGCGGATCACCTCGGGACCTCGCGGTGCCCTGGGGGCTGCGATCTGCGCAATTGTCGCCATTTTCGTGGGCTCCTGGGAGGCCCAGCGGAGGTAGTCCCACGCGGATCACCTCGGACCTCGCGGTGCCTTGGGGGTTGCGATCTGCGCAATTGTCGCCACTTTCGTGGGCTCCTGGGAGGCCCAGCGGAGGTGCGTCCCACGCCGATCACCTCGGGACCTCGCGGTGCCCTGGGGGCTGTGATCTGCGCAATTGTCGCCATTTTCGTGGGCTCCTGGGAGGCCCAGCGGAGGTAAGTCCAACGCGGATCACCTCGGGACCTCGCGGTGCCTTGGGGGCTGCGATCTGCGCAATTGTCGCCACTTTCGTGGGCTCCTGGGAGGCCCAGCGACTGTACGTCCCACGCGGATCACCTCGAGACCTCGCGGTGCCCTGGGGGCTGCGATCTGCGCAACTGTCGCCACTTTCGTGGGCTCCTGGGAGGCCCAGCGGAGGTGGGTCCGACGCGGATCACCTCGGGACCTCGCGGTGCCCTGGGGGGTGCGATCTGCGCAACTGTCGCCACTTTCGTGGGCTCCTGGGAGGCCCAGCGGAGGTGGGTCCGACGCGGATCACCTCGGGACCTCGCGGTGCCCTGGGGGCTGCGATCTGCGCAACTGTCGCCACTTTCGTGGGCTCCTGGGAGGCCCAGCGGAGCTACGTCCCACGCGGATCACCTCGGGGCCTCGCGGTGCCTTGGGGGCTGTGATCTGCGAAATTGTCGCCACTTTCGGAGGGTGCGCCGCCCCCTTCCCCCCCCCCCGTTTCCTCGATCTGTCGTCGGATAACCCTCCACCCCCCTCCCCCCCTTCCCCGATCCGTCGTCGGGGACCCCCTCCCCCCCTTTCCTCGATCCGTCTTCGGGGAACCCCCACCCCTCTCCCTTTCAAAAGGGGGGGGGTCCGAACCCCCCCCCCCTCCCCCCCTTTGGCCGCACCCCCTTCCCCCTCCCCCCCTTTCGCCACGCCGCCCCCTGATTCCGGAACCCGACCCCCGCCACCCCTACCCCTAGTCCTCACCCTAACCCAAACCCCTAATCCGAACCCCAACCACTAACCCCAGCCCCAAAGAATACTCACTACTCACTACGAACTACTGACTACCTGCGATTCGTTATTCACTTCTCACTACCCCCCACTCACTACTCACGACTCACTACTCACTATCCACTACTCACTACCCACCACCCACTACTCGCTACTCACTACTCCCTACTCGCTACTCCCTCCTCCCTACTCAATACTCATTCCTCACTACCCACTACTCAATAAGCATTACTCACGAAGCACTACTCACTACTCCCTACCCACTATTCACTAATCACTACTCATTACCCACTGCCCACTATCCACTACTCACTACTCACTATTCGCTACTCACTAGTCATTGCCCACAAATCACTACCCACTACTCGCTACTCCCTACCCCCTACTCCCTACACAATACTGACTACTCAGTACTCAATACTCACTACTCGCTACTCCCATACTCGCTACTCAATACTCACTACTCACTCCCCGCTACACACCACTCACTACTCACTACTCCCTATTCACTAGTCACTACATAGTCTCTAGTCACTAGTCACAATTCACTAGTCACTAATCACTCGTCACTACTCACTACCCACTACTCACTACTCACAAATCGCTACTCACTACCCACTGTTGGCTACCCACTTCTTACTACTCACTGCTCACTACTCCCTAATCACTACTCATTACCCACTACTCGCTATTCCTTACTCGTTACTCACGAATCACTACTCACTACTGACTATTCTCTACTCACTACTCACTACTCACTACGCCCTACTCGCTCCTCACTACTCACTACTCGCTACTCCCTACTCGCTACTCGCTACTCACTACCCATTGCCACTACCCACTACTCTTTATTCATCACTACCCACTGCTCACTACTCACTACACACTACGTACTACTCAGTACTCACTACTCACTACTCAGTTTTCACTACTCACTGCGCACTACGCACTGCCCACTACTCACTATTCACTAATCACTACTCGCCACCCACTACTCACTACCCACTACTCACTACCCACGACTCATTACCTCCTACTCCCTACTCAGTACTCACTACTCGCTACTCGCTACTAACTACTCACTACTCACTACTCGCCACTCACTACTCACTTACCAATACACACTATTCATTATTCACTACTCACTACTCCCTTTCCCCTACCCCGTACTCCCTACTCGCCACTCACTACCCACTACTCACTACCCAATACTCACTACTCACTACGCACTAACTCACTACTCACTACTCACCACTCCCTACTCCCAACTCCGTGCTCCCCACACAGTTTCTCCGGCGCAGACAGGAGAAGCGACAGAGGCCCCCCCTCCCCGGCTCCTTTTCCGGCGCACAGGGGGGGAGGGGGGGGGGTCCGACCCCCCCCTCATCTTTCCAGCGCCAAGGGGGGGAGGGGGGGGTCCGGAACCACCCTCCCCTTCAGGTGGGGGGGGGGAGGGGAAGGGGGTCGCCCCCCCCCCTCCCCCCCTTAAGAGGGGGGAGGGGGTGGGGTTCTGGACCCCCCCCCTCCCTTAGGGGGAGGGGAGAGGTCTGCCCCCCCCCCCCCCCCGCCCCCTTTAGTGTATTCAGGGAGATCCATTTGCGCACTTTCCTACTTTCGTGGGATCCTGGGAGGCCCAGCGGAGGTACGTCCCACGCGGATCACCTCGGGACCTCGCGGTGCCCTGGGGGCTGCGATCTGCGCAATTGTGGCCACTTCCGTGGGCTCCTGGGAGGCCCAGCGGAGGTACGTCCCACGCGGATCACCTCGAGACCTCGCGGTGCCCTGGGGGCTGCGATCTGCGCAATTGTGGCCCATTCCGTGGGCTCCTGGGAGGCCCAGCAGATGTGGGTCCCACGCGGATTACCTCGGGACCTCGCGGTGCCCTGGGGGGTGCGATCTGCGCAATTGTCGCCACTTTCGTGGGCTCCTGGGAGGCCTGGCGGAGGTACGTCCCACGCGGATCACCTCGGGACCTCGCGGTGCCCTAGGGGGGCTTGCGATCTGCGCAGCCGTCGCCACTTTCGTGGGTTCCTGGGAGGGCCAGCGGAAGTGGGTCCCACGCGGATCACTTCGGGACCTCGCGGTGCCGTGGGGGCTGCGATCTGCGCAACTGTCGCCACTTTCGTGGGCTCCTGGGAGGCCCAGCGGAGGTACGTCCCACGCGGATCGTCTCGGGACCTCGCGGTGCCCTAGGGGGCTTGCGATCTGCGCAATTGTCGCAATTTTCGTGGGGTCCTGGGAGGGCCAGCGGAGGTGGGTCCCACGCGGATCACGTCGGGACCTCGCGGTGCCCTGGGCAATTGTCGCCTTTTTCGTGGGCTCCTTGGAGGCCCAGCAAATGTGGGTCCCACGCGGATTACCTCGGGACCTCGCGGTGCCCTGGGGGGTGCGATCTGCGTTGCTGTCGCCATTATCGTGGGTTCCTGGGGGGCCCAGCGGAGGTGGGTCCCACGCGGATCACGTCGGCACCTCGCGGTGCCCTGGGGGCTGCGATCTGCGCAATTGTCGCCGCTTTCGCTGGCTCCTGGGAAGCCCATTGGAGGTACGTCCCACGCGGATCACCTCGGGACCTCGCGGTGCCTTGGGGGCTGCGATCTGCGCAACTGTCGCCACTTCCGTGGGCTCCTGGGAGGCCTGGCGGAGGTGGGTCCCGCGCGGATCACCTCGAGACCGAGTGGTGGCCTGGGAGCTGCGATCTGCGCAATTGTCGCCACTTCCGTGGATTCCTGGGAGGCCCAGCGGAGGTACGTCCCACGCGGATCACCTCGGGACCTCGCGGTGCCCTGGGGGGCTTGCGATCTGCGCAACTGTCGCCACTTTCGTAGGCTCCTGGGAGGCCCAGCGGAGGTACGTCCCACGCGGATCACTTCGGGACCTCGCGGTGCCTTGGAGGCTGCGATGTGCGCAATTGTCGCCATTTTCGTGGGTTCCTGGGATGCCCAGCGGAGGTACGTCCCACGCGGATCACCTCGGGACCTCGCGGTGCCCTGGGGGCTGCGATCTGCGCAATTGTCGCCACTTTCGTGGGCTCCTGGGAGGCCCAGCGGAGGTGGATCCCACGCAGATCACCTGGGGACCTCGCCGCCCCCTGGGGGGTGCGATCTGCGTTATTGTCGCAATTTTCGTGGGTTCCTGGGAGGCCGTACGTCCCACGTAGATCACTCGGAGGTACGTTATACGCGTTTCTTTCAACGCCCCTGTGATTCCATTTTGTATATTTGCCGTTTCTCTTCTTGCTGCGCTCTTCTGAATCACTGCTGGGTGCTCTTCTTGCGCACTGCGTGTCCTCCAGAATGCCAGACAGCATTGAGTGGTCTTGACTATCATCGCCACATGTATAGAAAGGGTTGGGTGCGTCACAGGGTATCCGTAAGGGCTTCGGCCCCTGCCGCCGGCCCCCTCTCTCGGAGAATGGGCCATGGAAGAGCTAAGTCATGAGGCCTTGGCGCTGTCGTGAAGCAGTATCGAAACTTTCTGCGAAGCCGATTCGCAATCAGCAAAACCAACTGATCACAAGAGGGGTTACCACACCTGGCGATTGGTAAGACGTGTATGGTTTACGGGCTTGGTTACCACACCTTGCGATTAAAGGGCCGAGGGAGTTCTCGCAGTTTGGGTTACCACGCCTTGCGATGGATGTGCGTGAAGGGTGGCACCGAATTTCAGAAATGTGCCAAATCCCCTATGTTTTTGACCCTGACCCCGCGGATCTGCGTAAGGGGTGGCGCCGAATTTCAGACATGTGGCAAATCCCCTGTGTTTTTGGACCCTGACCCCGCGGATCTGCGTGAGGGGTGGCGCCGAATTTCAGAAATGTTGCAAATCCCCTGTGTTTTTGGACCCTGACCCCGCGGATCTGCGTGAGGGGTGGCACCGAATTTCAGAAATGTGGCAAATCCCATGTGTTTTTGGACCCTGACCCCGCGGATCTGCGTGAGGGGTGGCACCGAATTTCAGAAATGTGGCAAATCCCATGTGTTTTTGGACCCTGACCCCGCGGATCTGCGTGAGGGGTGGCACCGAATTTCAGAAATGTGGCAAATCCCCTGTGTTTTTGGACCCTGACCCCGCGGATCTGCGTGAGGGGTGGCACCGAATTTCAGAAATATGGCAAATCCCCTATGTTTTTGGACCCTGACCCCGCGGATCTGCGTGAGGGGTGGCACCGAATTTCAGAAATGTGGCAAATCCCCTTTGTTTTTGGACCCTGGCTTCTCGGATCTGCGTGAGGGGTGGCACCGAATTTCAGAAATGTGGTAAATCCCATGTGTTTTTGGACCCTGACCCCGCGGATCTGCGTGAGGGGTGGCACCGAATTTCAGAAATATGGCAAATCCCATGTGTTTTTGGACCCTGACCCCGCGGATCTGCGTGAGGGGTGGCACCGAATTTCAGAAATGTAGCAAATCCCTTGTGTTTTTGGACCCTGACCCTGCCGATCTGTGTGAGGGGTGTAGATTTCGAGCCTCCCCAGCAATTCAGACAACGCGCCCAGGAGGTGCTAAATATTTGGTTTGGGCCTCCCCCCCCTCGCGCGGTCAAGCAACTAGTTACAGTAACCAGCAAGAAGCAGAACTGTAACACTGGAAACTACAAGCTACAACTGGTACAGGAAACTGCGAATCCCGCGCCTACAGCCTGGTGGCCCCACAAGGGGGCCGGCGGATTTTTTTCCGCGCTGGTCCTGCTTGCATTCCCCTTTCGTTTTTCTCATCCGTGGCGTCCTCCTACTTACTCCTCGGTGTCTGAGTCTTCCTTTATGTCCATTTCCCCCTTCTTCCCCGTCCTCCTCCCCTTCCGTAGCGAGAGCTCCGTCTCATGCGCGCCGAAAGGTTGCAGCTGCTCATTGAGAACATTTCCGTGACGCTTCTCCTCAATTTCAATCTGGCGCAGCTGGAGCCGCACACCAGTCCTGTCTCCGCGGCTTGGCACGGCGCCGTAGAAGCATGCATGCAGCACGTAGGTCACCGTGCGTGGGAAAACACCAAGGTAATATTGCAGCGGTGCACAGTTGTCTCTCTGAGTCGCGGGCGCCTGCGTGTCTATGGAATGGAAGTGTCGTGCCGTTGTGTGAACATGCGTGCTGATGTTGCTGACAGGTTTTCCGGCGGCCTCCATACTGCCACAAGTTAAGGCGTCGGGACGCGCTCGGGGACCTCTTGTGGGAGTTCGCTTGGGCTCATGCTTGGCGTATTTCGGGGAGTCATTGGAGTTTGGGGGCTTTCTTCGCTAGTCTCGTGGCCGCCAGCAGAGGTCATGGACGCGTCTGGAGGGTTCGTCGGGGCGCCGTCATGTGCCTGTTTTGGTGGTTGAGAGTCGTTTTGGGATAGTCTTCGGCAGTCCTTGGGGGCGGTCTCGTGCAATTTTGGGGCCGTCTTGGTGCCGTTTGGTAGGCCTCCTTGATTGCCGGAACGCTGCCGGGGAGCGCCTGAAGGCCGTTCGAGGTTCTTCTGGGTGCTATTCTTGACGCTTCGCGTGTCTCTACCAGTTCCGTAGCCCCCTCTGGCTCAAGCCCTCTGGCTCAAGGCCGCTCTGGCTCGAGGTTGCCGAGCTGGCCCGTCGCCCGCGCGCCTGGGGCTGGAGGTCGGCCCTGACCTCCGGCGTGCCCGGGGGGAGGCCGGGAAGGGGTGCCCCTTCCTGGCCCCCCCCCTCCCGTGCCATGGCGGGCGCTTCCCCGCGGCCGGCGGCTGGCCATGCGGTTCTCCGGGCGCGCCTGGTGCCGCCGCCGCTGCGCTGTCGCGTGCCGCCCGCCGCCAGGGTCGGAGTCCTAGAGATTGACACCAACACCAAGATCGGCGGTGTGCCTCCACCGAGGGAAGACGATCCCGATCTCGGTGATGGTGGTAATATTCTGGCTTCCAAGGTGACCGAAATATGACCACCAACACCGAAATCTAAGATCATCATCTCCCTGTGGAGGCAAACCCCTGTGCTGGTGTTGGTGCCAATTTCCAGGCCTCCAACAGGGCCAACGGCGGGCGCTGGCTGCCCGCTGGGCCGCCGCCGCTGCCCCGCTCCCTGGGCCCCTTCCGCCGTCCCCACTGCCGGGGGGGGGCGTGACGCTGCTGGCGCCGCCGCTGCTGGTGCCGCTGCTTGGGCCGGCCCGGCGTGCCCCGTGCTGCTGGCGGGAGCTGGGCTGCCGCCGCCGCGGCTGGTGGCCCGGCTGCTGCCGCCTCCTGCGCCGCGGACGCGGCGGCTGCCGCCGAGGCCTCCGCCGCCGCCGGCCTCTGGGAGACGGCGGCTGCGCTGGTGCGTGTGGCTGGCCGTGCCGCGGCCGCGGCCGCGGCAGCCGCTGCCGCCGCCGCCGCCGCGGCCGCCTCGGGCGGGCCGCTGGCGGCGGCCGCCGCGACGTACACTGGATCCCCGCTGCGCGTCATCGTGAACTCGTTGGACGCTCTAGCCCCAGCGGGCCCCTGGGACCCTGCTGGCTTCACAGCGGATGGCAGCACGGCCACATCCGCCCGCCGCCGACGGCACACCGAGCTGCAGCACGGCCGCGCGAGCGTGCTGGCGACCATGTGCTTCATCGAGCCCGAGATCACTGGGCAGCTGCCTGGCCACCTGTCGCCTGGAGACGACGACGCTGGCATCGTCGTCCCTTCTGAGGCCCCCGGATCCCGCCTGGAGGCCTTCCCTGGGCCCAGCGTCTCTGGAAACCTTCGGTCGGCTCTCTCCGAGGCCCCTGGCGTTGACGCGAGAGATCTCGATACTCACAACGACATCTCGGAACATAGCAGCAGCAGCAGCAGCAGCAGCAGCAGCAGCAGCAGCAGCAGCAGCAGCAGCAGCAGCAGCAACATACCACCCCCCCTTTCGTTGGCAGACGACGACGTCCCAGAGGGGAATCGAGAGGCGGTAGCTAGCAGTGATCAGCGTGCAGCCCACACTAACACCCCCCCCCTTCAGCAGTACCAGCAGGGCAGAGGAACGGAGAGGGGTTGCCTCGAGCAGGGAGGTGGGCAGCACACTGAGGAGAGCTGCAGACAGCAGCAGAGCAGCAGCAGCAGCAACAGGGCCGCAGCAGCCGCTGCAGCCGCAGCAGCTGGGCAGCAGCAGCAGCAGCCGCAGCAGCAGGGCAGCAGCAGCAGCAGCTGCAGCAACAGCCGCAGCGGCAGCAGCAGCAGCAACAGGACCCAGCAGCAGCTGCAGCAGCAGCAGCAGCAGGGCAGCAGCATCAGTAACAGCACCCCGCAGGGCAGAGGAAATGAGGCAGAGGTCACGATACCACCACCCGCATCGTTGTCAGACGATGACGTCCCAGAGGGGCATCGAGAGGCGGTAGCCTGCAGCGATCAGTGTGCAGCTCACACTAACACCCCCCCTTTCAGCAGCACCTGCAGGGCATCAGCAGTCCTCTGGGAGGGCCACACACCCAGCAGGGAGACCACAGAACAACCATCCAGGCGCAGGACAGCGACGCCATCCACTGGCTCGTCGGGAGAAGCCCCTTCGCGCCTATTCGCCCCCCTTCCCGTGTCAGTGAACCTCTGAGGGGCGGCGAATCCCAGGCGCCCTCTCCAGGCGTCCAGGGCACTACTGGCAAAGCAGCTCGCGCCCCGGCTATGGAAGCTGCGCCGCCGCGCGTACACGCGCCTGGCGCAACCAGCGGCACCCCAGAGACGGGAGAGAGTCCTGCGCCGACCGAAGGAGGCGCACCTGGGAGCGACGGCGGGCACAGGCCCGAAGGCGAACGCCAGCGAAAGGGGCCCTTTCCCACGTGCCACAAGGCTGCGTCTGCCGCCGGATGCGATCCGACCCCCGCCCGGCGGCCAACCGCGCGGCCTGCTTTTCCCCGCAGAACCCCGCCAGGCGTGCAGCCGGAGCTGTCGCGAGCAGATCGCGAGCCCTCCGGCCAGGACAACGAGGCCGGTACGTTGGAGACTTGCGGCCAGGATACACGCCGGCACCAAGGGCCCGACCCGCGCCAATGGCCAGGGCCCAAGGGCCCCGACACGGGACAACAGCTGTACAAAACAGGAATCAACAACATCCAGTGGGACCTCCCCAGGGAGACACCCGGCGAGGCGATAAGACGACTCCAAGTCACACTGGGGCCAATCTTCACTGGCACTTGGCACGCTTTCGCCAAGCGGCAGTCTGTGCCCGGCAGCAAGGGCGCGCTCGACCCGCTTCGGCACGACCCGCAAACCTGCCACCTCTTCCTGGAATCCTTCCGCAGCCACAAGTGCGACGCACGGGTCGTCAGCGAATCGCTTGGCCTCGACGTCGACCGGGCTCGGCTGTGGCAGCTGCACCTGGGTCGGAGCGGCGGAGCGAGCAGTGATCACCACGCGGCAAAGGGCCACCCGAACAACCAGGCCCCCAAGAAGCGCAGGAAGCAGTGGTGGGCCGTCGCCCCACAGTGGCCTTTGCTGCTCCCCTCGTGGCGTCGCACACGCGGGGATCAGGCGCGTGGAGGGCGGTCGCTGGCAGCAGGCCTGTTGCTGCCCTGCAGTTCGCGGCCTGCGGAGGGGATGCGCCCTCCGCCCCCCCGCCCCCCCATGCTCGCCTCGTCTTCTCGGCGCCCCCAGCCAGCTTTGCAGCGCTGTGAGCAGTGTCGGGGGCCCTTCCTATCTGATGGGGCTCTCGCAGGCCCCCTTCCCTCCGAATCGTGCTCGTCGTCTCGGCGCCCACTGTCGCAGTTGCCGCGCTGTGAGTAGAGGCGGAGGCGCTGGAGGCGCCTCCGACGCTGGCACTCTCAGTGTGGATAAAAGTGCGAGCTCTGCGGCTGTTGGCTGCGCCCCCTGTGTGATTGGAAGTGTGGACTCAGCGACTGCAGTGTGCACGGACTGCGTGTCCCGCGGGCTCTCCTGTGGCTTGCATCCTGGCGCCGAGCTCCCTGGGGGGCCGCCGCTGGTCCCTGGTCCGCCCGCTGTGGCTCTGGTGCTCTTGCATCCCGTTTCTGTCGGTCAGCGGCGGCGGTGGCACCGCCCTCTCCGGCGTGGTCCACGCGCGCCGGCGCGCCGCCGGTTTGTCCCTGCAGCTTTCCACCCCCCACCGTGCACCTGCGTTCAGCGGCTTTTGGCTGCGCCCCCCCCCCCCCCCCCCTGCAGGAGGCCGACGGGGGAACAACAATGACCGTTGGAGAAGAGGTGCAGTGCAGAAGTGTGGACTCAGCGACTGCAGTGTGCACGGACTGCGTGTCCCGCGGGTTCTCCTGTGGCTTGCATCCTGGCGCCGGGCTCCCTGGGGGGCCGCCGCTGGTCCCGCCCCTCGCGGCTCTGGTACTCTTGCATCCCGTTTCTGTCGGTCTGCGGCGGCGGTGGCAACACCCTCTCCAGCTTGGTCCACTTGTGCCAGCGCACTGCCGGGATGCCCCTGCAGCTTTCCACCCCCCACCGTGCACTTGTGTTCAGCGGCTTTTGGCTGCGCCCCTCCCCCCCCCCCCGCCTGCAGGAGGCCGAGGGGGAACAACAATGGGCCGTTGGACAAGAGGTACCGTGCTGAAGTGTGGACTCAGCGGCTGCAGTTAGAACGGGCTGCGTGTCCCGCGGGCCCTCCTGTGGCTTGCATCCTGGCGCCGGGCCCCCTGGGGGGCCGCCGCTGGTTTCGGGCCCGCCCCCCCGCGTTGCTCTGGCACTCCTGCGTCCCGTTGCTGTCGGTCAGCGGTGGCGGTGGCACCGCCCTCTCCAGCGCGGCCCACATGCGCCGGCACACTGCCGGGGCCCCCGTCCAGATCCTAGTTCCGTTCACGCCTCCTTCCTCCCCCCGCAAGGGGTCAGGCCGCGAGCGCGAAGCCCCGGCAGCAGGTTCCACCCAGCCCCCAGAGGCCGACAACGAGGCTCCCGTAGGGCTCCAAGAGGCGCCCGTGGACGAGGTATCTGGAGAGAGTCAACACGTGTCCTCGGAAGTGGACGGCGCTGGCCACCCACCAAGGGGACAGGCAACCAGACCCC